GAAATAATCGATTGTTATTTTGAATGCGTCGCCAAGCAATATCAACAGACTGATATAACTTATGGGTCGCATATTTGGAACTGTGATGAAACAGGTTGTTTGGGTTATCAAGGCAAAGCAACCGTAGTGTGTCAAAACAGGACAAGACGTTCATTTAAACTTACTGGCATTTACTGCAACGATGATGGGAGCATTTTGCACCACCATCTGTGATACACAAAGCTAAAAGAAACTTTCGTCCTGACTGGTTAAGAGGTGGTCTAGTTGGCACCAAATAATCAATTTCAAAATCAGGTTGGATGGAACACGATACTTTTATTGAATGGCTGAAAAAAGTAATTATATCCAAAACTGAGAAAATTGGTGGTATTCATATTTTAGTATTAGATGGGTATAAAACTCCCATAACTTTGGAAACGGTATTGCTGTGCAAAAAACACAATATAATCTTGACTTGTCTACCAGAGCATTTTTCACATATTCTACAACCATTAGATAGAGACGTCTATTTTAATGTCAAACAAACATAGTAAGAAATTCTTACAAAGTATTACAAAGACTGAAAATGTAAGAATTTCAACCATTGCTCAAACTGCTATTTGAAGTCTGAGTGTTTTTTTTTTTTTGCGAAAGTAGTAAATGTTTTACACGCATGCATGCAATCGCTGGTTTTCAAACACTAGTTTCTTCCACTAAATAAAAACAGCATAAATTATAAGGCATTTGAAGAAAAAGCAACAATGGAAATCACTAAAGTTGCTGAACATAACGCAAAGCGTTGACTCTCTATGCCAAGTACTTAAATGCTTGAGCATAGCAATGCTGAGAAACCTCAGCAAAGCAATTATAAAGAACAAATACCAGCAGCCAAACGATTAAAAGTTGAAAAATATAAAAATTGTTGGGTACAGTTAAACACAGAAATATTGAAATACGAGAATTCGATGTGCCGGGAATGTGCAAAGAAACATGTTTACCAAACAAATATGTAGTTGAAACAAAGATTTTTGTTGCAAAAAATGTAAAAACTTTAATATAGTTTCTTAAACATAAGTTGCGTTTCAAAAAATAAAGCTAAAATTTAAAAAATTCAATGTTTTCTCAAGTGTGCGGTTCTATCAGAATGTTGCCTATTAGTAAAGTACGGACGAATTCGTTTTTAAACCTTTTCTAATTTTTTTAGAATAAATAGTTCGAAAAAAAAAGATTGTTTTTGCTTGTGACACACGTGAGTTAAATTCGATCGCAAGCGTCATTCCATTTAAGTATATATTAAAATTATACTAAGTTAGTGCGTTTTAAGCTATTTTTCTTAACCTATATCAGTATATATTTTTTTATTGTAAATTTCCCAACCAATTCCAAAATAATATTTAGGTCTTTTAGAGTTCGTAGAAAAAAAATTGGTGTTTTATGTCAATGTTTAAAGTCCCCGCTTTTTGGTTAAAAAAGTTGGGGTTTTGGGGCACAAATTGTAAAAGCGGGAACCTTAAAAATGGCTTTCAAAAAATTTTTTTTAGCGTAAAATCATTTTTATAGTTTAAAAAATTTTTTGAAAAATGACGCACCCTAATACACATAGGTATATAATAATTAAGGTGATGTTATATCACGTCAATCGCATGCATGGATGCAAAACCTTACTTCTATTGCGTTTTTTTAAAAATTATTCTTATTGTGATTCCCTATTCGCGTTTCCTTGTTTTATGATTTTACTTAAATGCTGAGGAAATATACGCAAACAAATTATAAGTTATAAATAATATAAAAAGTATCTTCTTTTTTTTAGCAAGTACGCAAGTATTGGTGTGATTTAGTTTGTGTAGATGTATTGATTTAATACTGTAGAATTAAATTTAATTATGCTTATAAGATAATCAAAATCTTATAAGATTATCAAGATTTTTAATGATTTGCTCAAGAATGAGGAGAATGAGTCTACACTTTTAAAATTTACTGAAAAAGAAAAAACGTATTCAGTACAGACGAGAATGATAATATATAACAGGTAACATTTCATTATTGATTCAGAAAATTGGGCGAATTATAGATTTTGTTTTACTAATATTCCCCATCGTAATACTGTTGAAAAAATGGCTTGGTAGTACATCAAACTTGAAAGCAGTCCATATTAACAGTATTCACTTAACTTCTAAAGATAAATGTCTAGTCATTGCCCTTGACCATTTACCTGGCGGAACAGCTGAGGATTATGAAAACCATATATGTAATGCCATTGATCATATGGCTTTTATTTATTCAGATTTTCACATGTGTAACTACATGAATCTCCTAATATAATTATTAAAAATATTTTTAACACAATGTCTGACGGAGTTGCTGTTAATCATCTCACCATTAGCAAGGTATGTGCTGCATGGGGAAAACATCTTAATGAAATGAATTGCTATTTGCACCCTCTTGATACCATTGCCACATCATGTCGTTCAGTATTAAAATCCCTAGAGAATGAAAGTTGTAAATTGTATGGAAATGACTGTATGGGAACTTTAATAGTTTTGGCTATGAATAAAATGAGATATTTAGACGTCAAAGGTTATCCACAAGGTTTTGTTAATTTTTTAGACAATAAAAAATTATCACGTGGTATTATTCAAAGATATCGTGGAAACTAACTACACATTCTTTTCTATACTTGTTTTATTTTGATGCAGCATTATAGTGACTTTAAACATTATCTCACAATTGGAACAGTAAAATTTAAAACTTTACAGGCTACTCTTCGAGCTGCTTTTTGTAATACAACTGCCATTAAACAAATGTGTGTGCTTGCGGTATTTGGAAAAGTTCTTATTGGACTTAGGATGACATTGTTTTATGTAACAACAGAGCATGCAAATTTTGATCATGTTGAAGGTATCCAGGTAGTGAAGAATGTTGTATAAACAGTATAAGCATGCAAATCCAATCCAGCTGATTTGTTTTTCAGACAGACTAGTTCTTTTTAAAATTCGCTTAAAACAGACATTTTAAAATAGTTACAAGTTTATGAACTAATGATTATGAGCTTCTTAAAATGACTTCTGCTTGTCTAAATGCAGTGGAAGATGTTTTATATCGACAAAATAGTAGATATTTCTCACTTAACATTACAGAGAAATTAAAAGAAGAGACAGCAAGCACAAGGCTTCACACTATGGATAGTAAGGAATTAATAGTTATGTTTAGCGATTCCAAAGTACGTTCCCCTAACGCAACGATTTGTTATATCTCTTGCAAACTTAGATAAAAAAAAGATTAGTACTGTGGATTATTTAGACAGTCTAGGTTTACATTGAGAGATAAAGTTGTTAAATGGTCAGTTCATGTAGCGCATAAAAATAGAGTTAGAAATCAATTGCATCAGGTTAAAACTAGAACCAGTATTTGCCAAAGACAAGCATCCAAGCACCAAAAAATGGATGAGAAAGAAAAAAGAAAGTTAGACCGTGAGCTATCCAGACTAAATTATGATGAAATTATAGGTTCATACAAAAACTTGTGTAAAGACCAACTTTATAATTTAGAAGATGTCATGTCTAGAAGAATTGTAGACAAAAAACTATACCATGAACGGTACAATCCAAATACATTCAAGCCTGTTTTATATATATTAGCAGAGGAGGAAAAGTTAGTAGCAGAAAAAATGACTGCATTTGCTGTGACATACTAAAAAAAATACTGCAAGTGTAGTGACTTGCTATGCTTTTTTGATAGTCGGCTTTGTCTTACCTTGACGTGGTGTCTGTTGTTAAAAATGAATATAAAATAATTTCATTAGTGAAATTTATTAATCTAATCATTTACTAAAAGCCAAGACAAAACTTGATGAAATAAAATATCATTAAAATAATCAAACATTATTTAGTGTTAATAACATTTTTATTTTTTTTATTTAGAAGCAGCCGAACCTTTCGTTAACCAAGCTACTATCAAGCGCTATTTGAATTATTGGAAGACTTATAAAGGTTGTTAAATACCTTGTTTTGATTACCTTTTTGCCACTATTTACTGATAATAGAAGTAACTCAGTAATAAGAGAATATTTTAACAACTAATTCTCCAATCAATAAAAAAGTTTTTTTTTCAAAACAAAATTTACAATTTTTCAAGCGGGGGTGAAGGGGGAATGAACCTTCTTATTTGACAATCGATGCAACTCTAACGTAACTTTTGACCGAGTAAGATATTTTTTTTACTTCTTTGTTGTTGAAATTTAAATAAAAAATCAGATATTCCATTATTAAATTTTTTTTTTGATATTAGGGTGTGTTAAAACATCATCCACACATTTAGCATTAGTTTTACATTTACCCTCAATGTTTTGTAGTTGTCCGGTATTAACTTATAGAACTTCTTGTTATACAGAAAAAACTTTCGAAGACATTATGAAAGCAGTAGTTGTGTTATTTAAATAATTTTTTTTCAGGTTAAGGAGGGGGGATGGAGGGGATTAGACGCCCCTGCCATACATCAACGCCACTTGTGTATGTAAATTCTTGTAAAACATATTTTTATTATGTATACTGTTGAATTCATTGTAGTAAAGATAATAATAGTTATAAAACAAGTCATATTTGATACTAGGGTGTATCAAACCATCATCACCGCACCCACCTAATCGTTAACATACGCCTCTCATATTATTAGTTGGTTTAGTATAACTTTATAACAACTTTTTTTGTATATTTAAATAACTCATATCTTAAAAAAAAACTTTTTTTCTGAAAAAAAAAGATCATTTTCATTCGGTTAAGGTGGTGGTTTGATGCTCCCTCTGTCCATCCGATACGCCCGGTGGTTTGAGTTAAACAGGAATTTGTAGCCCACTCTTTCACCTATCTTTTGACACGAAGATATTTGTATTTAGATGAGAATTACAAAAAGTTATGACAATTTAAGTGAAGAAAAACATAATTTTGTCTACAGTTTCTTCAACAATTTCATATATTGAAAAATCGGTATTTAAACCGTCATAACGGGACATAACCGTCATTTTTGTACAATATACCATAGACATTTATACTAAGAATGAATGTTGGTTGTGTTTTTAATAGTTTCAACGAACTTAAGCAAGCAATTAAAGAGTATGAAAGATCGTGTTTTATATCATTATATGTTCGAGATAGTCGAACCATTGATTTAGCAATCAAAAAAGGATTAAAGCGTTATATAAATAAAGAATTAAAATATTATTATCTAACATATTATTGTTACCACGGAGGGCGTCAGTTTAAGTCAAGATCAAAAGGTATTCGTCCAAATCAAAGGTATGACTGCAAAAATGTATTTTTTTAAATTTGTTCAAGGAAAGAAATAAAAAATAATTGAAAGTTTCGAAAATTTTTTTATACTATTTTAGTAAATTCGACGATAAAAAGAAATTTTGAAGAAATTTCTAAATCTATTTTTTTTCAGTCTTTTCTTTTTTGTTAACAATGTTGTGCTTAAGCTGTTTTACTCCATAATATATGATTTATTTTACAAGTGATGGTAACTTTATTTTTCTAATTTATTGTTAGCACATATAACATTAAATGTCCGTTTACTATTTGCATTGGTGTTAGTGAAGATGGAGAACAGTTCTGTGTTACCAAAGTTATTAAAGAGCACAATCATGCAATTGATAAAGTAAAATATTCTTTATTTAGTATTTACTCAGAGTAAAGAATTTTTCTATACATACTAGTAAAAGGTTAAAACAAGAAATCTTGAAATTTGAAAAAAGGAGGGTAGAATCATTTTATCCTTTCCTTTTTTTATTTCATAATTATATGTTTTAACTTTAAAAATTTTTTTCCATTTAAAAAATTGACAAGTGTTTATTTTCACCAACAATTAAAGCATATATTTTCACCAACACCTAATTATGACATTTTTGAAAATTTCAATGTTATTTTTTTGTAATAAATTTAGTTTGAAAATCAAATATTGCTGTAATATTGTAATTATTTTAAAATATGACACTAATTGATCGCATCCATCTCTGCTTTAGACATAAGTTTTTAAATGTATAAATTATATAAATTAGAATAATTTCAAAACAAAATTTATAATAGTAACCTTTTTTTCTATGCCATTTTAAATTGAAAAGAAATTCTTTCATGAAAGGAAAATCTTTATAGTTAAAAACAATGAAGTGCATAGTAACAAAAATGTTAAAAAGTCATTAAATAAAATAAAGACAATGGGCTAGAACATTTATAAAGTGTTTAAGCTTGATGATTTGGGAGAATATATAATCCATGTACTCAATATAGAACTTATTATTAAATTTATATTGATATCCTTTTTAATAGTAATCAAGTAAATCATTATTTAAACTTTAATAATTTATAATATATTAATATAGTTTATTGCTTGAAATAAATTACATTAATGATATCTGAAGTTAAAATAAATTATATTCAAATGATATATAATTTTTTCTTATTAAATTTTTCAATTATTTATTAATTTTCATTAATAATATTTGAATCATTTCAGTTTTTGATTATTTAGGAAATTATAGAAAAGCTTCCGAAAATTAGAAAATTAGATAATGAGCAAGAAAATAATGTAAGGCAAATGTTGAAATTACATGGCAATAAATGGCTTATTCATGAGCATGTTCAAAATGAAACAGGTGATGATTATTAAGTAGCTGTATGCTAGTTGATTTTTTTAAAGCTATTGAGATTTAGAAATAGACACACACACACACACACTCACACACACACACACACAACAAACCCTTACCCCGTTTATTTTTTTATTTTTTTTCAAAAAAGTGAACCTAATTAGTTCCTACCTTGAGAAAGAAAATTGTCTATTCACTTTATTAGATGTGCAGATTTACCTAATTGATTATGTATACACTGAACATAAATATTTCTTAAATAGATGATAATTGCGAAAGGTTTTTTCAGGTCTTTCATTAAGACTATATTTATTCTAGATAGTTTAAATTTTTTTTTGTGTCAAAAACATAATAATTCTGAATTAAGATTAAACTATCATAGAGAATAATACAGAAGTAAACTTGTAAATAAAAGAAATGAAACCTATTAATTGCTTCATATAAGAATAATAACAGATATAAGATAAGGAAGAGATTTTGCATGGCAGATTTTCAGTCATTTAAGGTTACATATCATAATACAAAAATGTGCATTAGCGCTCATATCATAATACAAAAATCAAATAATTTTTAAATCCTTTATTTGAGCTGTTTTGACTACTGGATTGAAAGAGATGCAAGGTAGTTTTTCAGTCGTTTATGAGATATTTTAAAATATTGTAATACAAAAATCTGTTGATTTTTAAATCATGTTTTTAAATTTATGAGCTGTTTTTATTAATGATTTAAAAAGATGATGTAATTTTAGCAACAGAAATTATCAAGGTAGGAGAAAGTCATGGCAAATCTAAAATTGAAGTTTCAAATTTCTATTTGGATGAGACAAAATGTTTTAAGTTTTTTCAATCTTGTCAATTTTTTTAAATATAATAACATACATATAAAAATTCAAAACAAAACAGTTTTAGCAAAAAAAACTGTTTTGTTTTGAATTTTTATATGTATGTTATTATACTTAATTACTTGAAGAGTTTTCTTATATTAGACACGATTCTATATATAAGGTTATATAAGCAAAAGTGTTAACGTTATTTAATAAACAAAAGACTTAATAAAATGGCAAATAAATGCTATAAACCAAAATTGAGGAGATATTGCCGCAATTCCGTTTTCAAGTAAAAATGAATCTGTAAATAATTAGTAGTTATTTCCATAATTTGAGGTTTACATAAGTTAGATATTTGCATACGCTTTCATTCACATTTTAAACTATTTTAAACATAAAGCACATTTTTAATACTATATAATACAGTAATAATATAATTCATGGAATTTTTTTTTATTGTTTTTTTTTTCTCAATTCATTTTGTTATACTGTAAAAATTGCCTAAGTTGGGTTTCTTAAGCTTTGAGCTTCCATATTTTAGGCATAAATAAAAAATTTTGAATTTTTTTCTGAATTATACAGAAAACTATATCATTAATTTATATTGTAAAAATATAATGATAAAAATAAAAACTAGCATTTGATATTTCATTTTAAATGAGAACAGCTAGTTAGACCTAACTTTCTAACTAAAATTCAGTCACTATATATTTCAATCAAAATATAGCATTATTACAAATTCAACTTCCAAATAATACATAACAGTGTCACAAATTTAGCATATAAAATTATGAAAACTAGTTTTCTCATATTATTTTATAATAAAAATTTTAAAACAAAATCATTTAATTCAATTTAAAAAAAAAAAAATTTCAAATATTTTTAAATTTTCAAATATCGTCAACTTAGGGACTCTTAATAATATTAGTGCTAAAGTTGATCAATTTATTCAATACTCTTCTTATTTTAGATTTCAACAGCATAATTTCAAAACCCTTATTTTGCAAACAAAATGTTTTAGCAGATTTTAACTTTAATTTTAAATAAATATTATCATTCTTTTTATGATTCCTAAGCACAGCATGATAAAAAATACAATTAGAGAAAAAAAGTTTATAAAAATTGAAATACATTTCAATTATTTATTCCTAAAAGACCAAAGTTATATAGTGAGGAGACTTAGGTGGTTTTATGGCAAGGTTAAAATTTCAAATATTACTATTTCATCATTTAACATATATGGAAGAAGATTACATTGAAAGATATACATAATTTAGCATCTAAGGAGAAGGGTTGAACAGATGTAGAGTCTTTACTTTCAGTATTTCAAAATTGTGATGGTTTGTACTTGTTTGCTCATTTTATTTTAATATTTTTATTTTAACTTTTATATTAATAATCTCTAATGGACAAGTTAAGTCAAACTCTGTTCATATCCAAATCTTCTCAAAAACAAGATTGAGTTAATATATGTGGCACTTGAGACAAGAACAAAGTAACATTTTTACATGCCAGTCTATTTGCAATTGGTTATAGTGGTAGTATTAGTTCTTTTTTACAACAAATCTTATTTAAATTTTAACATTTAATTTGTATTTAAATTTATATTGCCTTTTCCAAGTTGGTGTTTATTTTATTACAGGTGCAGATGTAGATATAAAATGTGACAATAGTGGTACTATCCACACAATATTTTTCCAGGATGCAGAAATGAAGAGATTTTTTTCACTGTATCCTGAATTAATTTTGATGGATGCAACATATAAGTTAACTAACTTACCTATGCCATTATACATTCTACTAGCAATTGGTCCTAATGGAGAAAGTGAAATCATTGCAATTTTTGTAACAGCATCAGAGGATGCATTGACACTTACCAATGTTCTAGAGACATTTAAATCAAAAAATGCGAAATGGACTGAAACTGTCACCATTTTCACTGATAAGGACATGGCTGAGCGTGATTCTCTGCGAACAACATTTCCAAATGCAGTATTGCTTTTATGCTTATTTCATGTTTTGCGTGCTATGAGTAGAGAAGTGACTGTGTTAAAAATGGGCATTTCAGAGAGTCAGAGATTATATGCATTAAGAGCTCTGCAAAAAATGGCGTATGCACCTTCAGAATTAGTATTCGAGGAGCTACAACGTGACTTTAATGAAAAAATGCCAAGTAGTGTGGTTCGCTACTTTGAAACAAACTGGAGTAATTGCAAAACTGAGTGGGTGTATTGTTGGCAACAGCAGAACCTGACTTTTGGACAGCGAACAACAAACAGATTAGAGTCTGTAAACAGAAGAATAAAATCTGTTTTAAACTTATTAAACCCTCTTCCACTGTTTTTTAAAGATCTTTTTTCTGTTATTGATGTCATGCGAAAGGAACGAAATCATAGTTTTGTTACTGCTGGAGAACGTATCTCTGTTCATGCCGTTCTCGATAATGATGTTCTCGAAGAGTTTTCTAAAGTTTTAACACCTTATGCATTAAATTTTGTTAGTAGTCAATTACATGAAGCGCTGAAAGTATACCCTGGAGGCGATAGTAATTTTCCAACCTGTGAAACCTTAGGACGGGAAGTGTTGATAAGTGAGCTTAACTGCCATTGTATTTTTTTTAAATCCGTGGGATTACCCTGCAAGCACATGTTTGTTGCAAGGCGGATAAAGCAATTGCCAATATTTTCATTTGACGGCATTTCTGTAAAATGGCTCAAGTTTCATGCTGCTGAAAATCATCGCCTTTTCCAACACCACAATGAAAACCAAAATCATCTAGAAATAGGTGTAATAAAAGAAAGACCTTTAACGCAAACTGAAAAGTTTAAAAAAGCGAATCATCTCTCTCAGCGATTAGCACAGCTTGTTTCTGAAGGTGGACATAGTGAGTTTGAAAGCCGACTAAACATTCTTCAAAATTTAGTTAAAATTTGGGAAGATGATAAATATGCAGAGATTACTGCTTTAGAATCATCAAATAATTTAATAACTAATACCACCTCAGAATATGCTATGAGTTCTAAAATCAACCATAAGAATGATGAATTGTGTGATGTAACAAAAAAAGCATTTATTCCACCTTCAAGTAACTTTGATTTTGTTTTAACATGTAATGAAACATTTAATAAGTCAAATAAGCATGCATCAGAAGTTTCAAACTCTGATAATTTAGAATACCATAATTCATCTGACTTTCTCTGTAGTTCTAATTCTTTGTTCTCAATAACTGAGTCTA